CCCCCAGTGGGGAGGGAGCCCCTGACCCTTGGCATCACACTCAGCACAGCCCCACTGGCACAGCCCCTCTGGCACTCCCTGGCCTGGATGTGGGGAGTGGGCTGGAGCCCAGGCAGAGAGGGACCCTCTGGGGTGGGACATACCCGGGGTGCCAGGGCTGGGCAGGGGTCTGGCCCCACTCCCATGGCCAGGGTGGTGTTTGTTGGAGCCCCAGGGACATGTGGCGGTGCCCAGGGATGTGTGACTGTGCCCACGGATGTGTGATTGTGCCCAGGGTGGTGTTTTGGCCATACCCAGGGATGTGTGGCGGTGCTCAGGGATGTGTGGTTGTGCCCAGGGTGGTGTTTTGGCTGTGCCCAGGGATGTGTGGTGGTGCCCAGGGATGTGTGATTGTGCCCAGGGTGGTGTTTTGGCCATGCCCAGGGATGTGTTTGTGCCCAGGGATGTGTGGCCATGCCCAGGGTGGTGTTTTGGCCATGCCCAGGGATGTGATTGTGCCCAGGGATGTGTGACTGTGCCCAGGGTGGTGTTTTGGTCGTGCCCAGGGATGTGTGATTGTGCCCAGGGATGTGTGATTGTGCCCAGGGTGGTGTTTTGGCCGTGCCCAGGGATGTGTGATCATGTCCAGGGCGGTGTTTTGGCCGTGCCCAGGGATGTGTGATTGTGCCCAGGGATGTGTGCCCATGCCTGGATGCCTGCACAGGGAGCGTGGGATCGCACTGGGACGTGGCCCTGGGGCAGAGCCGTGGGCTGCTGGCTGGCACGGCGGGTATCCCGTGACAAGTGTCCCGTGCCCAGTGTCCTGGCACAGCAGCATGCCTGGCACAGGCACAGGGGTCTCTGCAGCTGTCCCCTGTCACAGGGGGGTGCAGGCTGGGCTGGGCTGGCGCTGTCCTGCCCAGTGTCCCTGTGTGCCCAGCAGGGCTGGCTCAGGGCCGCTGTGTGCCCTGGAACTGCTGAGTAACCAGGCAGGGCCGGGGGAGAGATGGCACCGTGTCCCTTTGGGTGGCCTTTGGGGCTGCTCTGCACACGGGCACCCTCTGGCCGTGGGGGTTCGGCACAGTGACAGCAGAGAGATGGCACCTCAGTGGGCACAAAGGGGCACAGCCTGCTGTGACACTCACCCCAGCGGGCACAGCCCGTGGGACACTGCAGGGACACTGGGTGGCCTCAGGGTGCCCCTGGGCAGCTTTGCCACACGGTGGGGCCGGGCAGGGAGCCCCTGGCTCTGTAATGACCGTGGCAAAGACAGCTGAGGTGACAGGGGGACACGGGGTGCCCCCCACACCCACGGGTGACACACTGCACCCTGTGTTACTGTCACACTCGTGGGTGTGGGCTCTGCCAGCTGGGACAT